AAGGTTTCACTTTATGATGATGGGCTGGAGGCCTAATGTGGGTGAGTAGGAGAAAGCTAGATCAGCCTAGTCAAGTTGGGTGGTACATAAGCCCCTCGAGCTTTAAGCTCTTTAAAGGGAAGGAGTTATAAGTTGTGCTTAAATTGCGTTATTTCTTGCTTGTGTCAAGTTAAGTTGTCTAGCTTGAAGTTTGAAGAGACTTTTAATGCAGATTGAAATGTGTTATGCATGCATAAGTGGTTTTCACGTTTTGCTGATAATCATTTGTTTTATGTTTGCCAAAGATAGTAAGCTTGTATGTTGTAATAATGATCAATTAGCTTGTACATGTTTAGCTCACCATAAGTGATAAGTTCGTAGTAGTGACTAATATGTAGTCATTTAAGATAATAAGCCTAAGTGCTTATAAGTGATTATCTCATAATCGTTAAGATAATAAGCTTGAAGGCTTGTAAATGATAAATTGTAATCATAGTGGCGAAGTGATCAACTTATGATTGTAATTGCAAAGATTACAGAAGCTCGTAGTTGATTAACTTGTAATCATAAAGAAGAGATGAACTTGTGATGGTTGTAGTTGAAGAGCTTAGAAACTTGAAGTGATCAAATTGTGATCATAATGGTAAAGAGATCATCTTGTGATCTTTTTAGTTCAAGAGCTTGGAAGGTTATAGTTGAATAACTTATACTCATAATGGTAAATAGATCAACTTGTGGTCATTTTAGATTGAAGAGCTTGAAAGCTTGAAGTGATGAGGCAAAGCGGTCGACATGTGGTCATAATAGCAAAGTGATTAGATTGTGGTCATAATGGTAAAAAGATAATCTTGTATATTTAAAAGAATATGTAAACTGTGACACCCTCTACCTCAACATACATATATAATAATTATAAAAACATATTCTTGGGTTAAATAAAATCTTTAGAATTAAAACAATGGTTCCACTAACATAAGAGTAGAGAATTCACATTCGTAAACTTATATCATGGTCAAATGCGAAATTTATAAGAAAATGAAACATGAGTTTTCCCAAAACAAAATAACAATGATGAAATCCTAAACTAAGTCTAGCTACGCCTTGATGTCACATATCCTATTAGAGCATGCCCAACTGAAGCCTAAGCCTCATCACCAACACCCTCATGCTGATGATCACCTGCAACACAATTTAACCACATACAAAGAACAAGGGAGTGAGAAACATCTCACTCAGGTTCAGGTGCAGAAATAAAGGTTAGGTAACACACACATAACAAACATAATACAAGTCACAAGTACAAATCACATATGAACAATACACGTACACAATCAGTATCACATGCACACTCATTTATCATGCAATGATGTTAGAGACTCGACTCATAAATGCATGCATGTGGCGCCAATCACATATCACATATCACATATCACTGGTGTGCTTCCTAAACAACACACCTAGGGTAGTCTAGGAGTACATGTAAGGAGCATCCCATACACTCTCAACTAGAAGGATGTACTGCTAGGTCTAGTCGGGATAGCGAAGCCGCGCAAGTTACATTTTGTGCTCACAAACGGGCGGAATCGAGACATCTAAATTGCACTATCCCCTAGGACTCCCCCAAGCTATTACACAAGGAGGGCCTTCCCTAACGGTGTACTCCATATCATACCCGTCACATAGATGCACATGATGCATGTCACACACATTCACACCTCATGGACTCATCACTTTACTTGTCATGGAACTTCATGTCTTATCTCATTTCATCACGTTTCACATTCTCATAGTCATAGTGTTCACAATAGCACGTATTTCACATCATGTCTCATAAAACACATCACTCATGTAATCATAGTAATTAGACAATTTTCACACAATTTGCACCATCAAACAAGACATAAAGCATGTAAAACATCATAGGGATCACGCCCGGCGTGCCCCAACTCGCGCCCAGCGCATCAAATGCTGCACCAAAAGCGGAGCATCAAGCCCGGCGCGCCGGTGAATTTAATGTCACGCTTAAAGCGGAGAATTCCGCTTGGCGTAGCTTCACACGCGCTCAGCGTGACTTTCTTGAGCCCAGTGCAACTTTTCTGAGCTCGGATCAATTTTCCTGAGCCTGGCTCAATTTTTCTGGAAAACTATAAATTTGCGCCCAGAGCAAAGAACTGCACCTAACGCCCTTAGTGCAAAACCTACACTTCAAAATCAAATGTTTTTTCACAACCAACATGTAATCATATAAATCGATGGTTAAAAATCCTCCAAATAACACTTAGAACATAAATTCATACTCAATTTTACATAAAATACCTCTCAAATCTTGTCAAAAGATCATACCCCTAATTGTTTCTCATAAGGTTTCCCATAGGAACCTACATAGCACTCTAATTCATATCAAAACTTATCTAATTTCGAAATCAAACACATATTCATGCATCACATCCAACCAGAAACCCAACAAAAAACTCAGATATTAAAACAAAAAACTTTTATAATTTGTCTGTTCCTCAAGCATGCATCAAGCAAGGGATTGGGGGTCAATCCTGCTACCCAACAAATATTCCCACACCCCAGAGCGAGGTTTTTCACTCCCCCCTTACCTTGATGAACAGAAGATGAAGCACGAGCGGAATCAGGTTGGTTCTCTCCTTCAAGTTCTCCTTGGTCTTCAAAAGCGTAGAAAGAAAATGAGTCGAGAAAAAGTAAATGCGTGGAATAACTCAAACAACTTTTAGTAACCTCCATTTTCTCAAATTAATAAAATAACAATAATAATAATTTGCAAAAGATTACCACGTCCTTCCTTCCCTTCCATAAAATAATAATAATAATATTAAACATATCTTCTCCCTTTTATAAGATAAATTAAACATGATTATTAATAATAAAATATATTTCATAAAAATAACTCCTGTTCCACTAATTAAACAAAATATAATTACAAATGGTGTCACATAATTAAAATAGAGCTCATATAACTAATTAAATAATATTCAAAACTCTAAAATAAATCTATTAAACGTGAAAATAATTTCTAAAATACTATTTATTATAAGATATGAAATTCAGGATGTTACATAAACAAAATATATGAATCTTTTATTATTATTATTATATATATATATATATATTAATATATATAT